TCTCCCTGCTCTGTTCTGACAACTGCCTCTTGGTCCAAGTATAGGTTTCGCATTAGCACAATCAAATGTTCTGGGATTCCCATTATTCTCAGAGTCAGCCATAGCTTGTTGTGATCCACAAAATCAAAAGCCTTTGCATAGTCAATGAAGCACAGATAGACATTTTTCTGGTATTCTCTGGTATCAAGTCCACGGGAACCAAGATTTGACCTTAAGTCTGTCCCACTCGAATTTCAAAATAATCTCAGGAACAGGTTTGAGGTCTTGAGCACCAATGAGCATAGACCAAATGAGCTCTGGGAGGATATCAAGAAAATTGTCCATGAAGAATGTCCAAAGATCATTAACTAAGGCTGAAAAAGAAGAAAAGACCAAGGTCAATGTCAGATGAGACTCTGAATATTACATTAGAGCGCTGAGAAGCCAAAGTTTAAGGAAGAAATCAAGAAATCAACGAGCTGAACAGAAAATTTCAAAAGACAGCCCGGGACGACAAAGCAAGACACTAAAATGAAATGTGCAGAGAGCTGGAGTCAGAAAATCAAAAGGGCTGAACTTGCTCAGCATTTAAGCTGAAGGAGTTGAAAAACAAATTCAAGCCACTGGTGGCAATACTTAAAGATAGTTTGGGTAGAATGTTAAATGATCGAGGAAGTATCAAAAGAAGATAGAAGGAGTACACAGTCACTGTATCGGAAGGAATTGGCTGACACAGAGGAATTTCATGAAATAAAATATGAGCGAGAGTCTATGGTGATGAAGGAGGAAGTTCAATTTGCTCTGAAGCAATTGACAAAAAACAAGGCTCCAGGAGTTGATAGATACCAATTGATTTATTTGAACAAACAGACGCTGCCCTGGATGTGCTCACTAAGTTGTGCCAGGAATTTGGAGGACAGCCAGCTGGCCAACAGACTGGAAGAGATAGATATTTGTTCCCAATCCAAAGAAAGGTGACCCAACAGATTGTGGAAATTATCGAACAATATCATTGATAGCACATGCAAGCAGGATTCTGCTGAAAATTATCCAAAAACTTTTGGAACAATATGTCAACAGAGAACTGCCAGATGTGCAGGCTGGATTTAGAAGAGGTTGTGGTACTAGGGATATTATAGCTAATATTATAGCTTAACAACGTTTAGAAGAAAAAAAAATTCTCTTAGATTGATACAGATTTAAATTACAGGACAACAACATGGGTATATAACATGAGAATCAGAAAGGCGTTTACATTCCAACTCCTTTTGCTTTGTGAAGGAAACTGAGGAAAAAGCGGTGGTAGAGATGAGTTTAGAACTCAGGATTTGTGAAATTTTAAGTAGGAGGATTGTGAAGGTCCAATGCATCTTTGTTGGGGTGCAGGGTATAAGGGGTCTGGTGGTTCTGGAGGGTCTATGGTGGTTCCAGGAAAGAATGGGTCAAAGGGAGTAAGGTAAGGTCACTAGGCGCCATTTCTCTGGTGCATTGAGGCCCCTGAGATTCGCGGACAGTCTAAAGTCACAGATTCATACTATCTCAAATTACGGGGCTGCCTCTGCCAGAGCCAGTATGAGATGCAGACAATCCCAGCTGCTTGGAGATGCCTGTTGCATCGAAACACACCCCCGGGAATCCCGGGGCACTACTTGTCCCAGCGGAGGAATCCGTGTGCGTCTCATCAGTGACAGTCGTGACGCCGCTGACGCCGGACTGGTGACGCAGCGACGTCGCGGGAGGCGGGGGGGAAACGGGTCGGGAAGTAGTTCCGGGTGCGCTGCCCCGGATGTTGGCTGCTCCCGCTGCCGCCGCTCTCGGCGCTGCTCGGGGCCTCAGCAGCTCGCACCAGGCACCGTTGGGACTTTTCCTGGGGGGTGGAGACGCACGCAGAGGCCGGGGGTTCGGCCGGGCCGGCCCGGCCTGCGCAGCCTGAGGTAGGCGCCCGATGCTAGGGTGTTCGGGCCGGGACGGCGGGCGAGGAGGCGGGGCTGGGGCATCTCCCAGGACGGAGGAAGGGGCTGCGCTCCGCGAGACGCTCTCTCTTTAGCTTTGGGCGCGCTGCGGGGCGGGAGGCGGGCGGGGCAGGGGGTCTGGGCCGGGACCTGGGCTTCGCGGGCAGCGAGGGCTGTGTCCCTCCCTCCCCCGCCGCGTTTCTCCTCAGCTGCTGCTGCCCCTCAGCCGGGAAAGCAGAGGCTCCGCGCCTGGTGCCCCTCCCCCAGACGGGGCCCGGGAAAGACAGATGTGGTTTACTGGGGGCTCGTAGTTCGAGGACGGTGGCCGTCTCTTTTCTTCATGACCAACCCCACTTAGATTGGGCTAGCCTCGATTCCAGCACGGTGCACCTTCTTGCCTTCCAGGCTGGAGGCGCTTTTCAGCCTTCAGTGTGGACTGTGCCTTGCACCTCGGGGCTTGCCTTAGGGGTGAGAGAGCCGGTGCGGTGCGAGGGTCCTGAGTTCCCGCCCATCCTGTCTCCGTGTCCTTTTCGGGCATTAGGGCAAAGGCAGCCGTTCGGTGCGGACGTGTTGCTGTCCTCTGTGTATCGCATCCTGCCCACGTGGTAGGGTTAAAACCCCTCTCCCCTTTTTCCCCCTGAGCAGGTGAGAAGGAAGGTTATTTGAGCAGTTTTTGCTCTTGTGATTCTCCTGGAATCACAAGTATGGAAGGTGCTAGGGTCAGTTTTGCCGAGGCCAGCTGTTAGATGGAAGCAGCAAGAGTTGTACTCTTAGAAATTGAGACCAGTAGGGAGGGAACATAACAAGTTACACTGGCATCTTTTCTCCCTTTAGTTGCTCTTATTCTTTTGACTTCAGTAATTGCTAAAGCGAGAGTTGGCGTTTGCTACTGATGCAAGAAGGTAAATAGTTTTTACCTTTCCGTTCTGCTTTTTTTTGTGTGTGTGATTGGCAAAGATATTTCTGTCTTGTATTGTGCAATCCGTATCTGTTGGAATTCTGGTCGGATTCCTGGGCTTACCCTGGGTTTTAAGATAGATAATTATCTTTCTGTAGTTTTCCAGACGTTTACTTTTCTTGCTCTCTTTTTGGTTTATTTTGTTTTTTTGTATGGTGACAAACATGCATGCCATCAGAATGTTACATACATAGCAAGATAGTAAGTAGTATTAAACATCATTTATTTCATGGAAGCAGTATAATTTCATATTTCCTCTCCAAGTTTTTGTGACTGATTTGAAACGTTGAGTAGTTTGGTTCTTTATTTAATGTTTCTTCTAAGTTAAGCTCTTCACCTTTCAGAGTTTTACTCTTGTGACAAATTTGATGGTAGGGAATAGACTGCACTAGCAGTAAGAGAAACTTTTCCTTTATTGTTGTTATTAGGTTGTGTTGAGTCAGTTCTGATTCAAAGCGACCCTGCTTACAACAGAACGAAACACGCTACCTGGTCTATTTCGTTGAGTGTCTTACACTTTTTTGCTCATCCTGTGCTTTACCAGACATGATGTCCTCCTCCAGCGACTGGTCCCTTTTGATTACATGCTCCAAAAACTTAGACTTTGTCTTGCCAACTTTACTTGTAGTGAGTGTTCTTGATATACTTCTTCCAAGACAGATATGTTCAGTCTTCTGTCAGGCTATGTTCTATTCAGCATTCTTTGCCAAAACTGTAATTCAGAGGCCTTAATTTTCCAGTCTTCCTTATTTATTGTTGAGCTTACATACTCATATGCTCGCTTACTCCCATTGCAGTTGAGTCAGAACTAACTCATAATTGACCCTCCAGCCAGTTTTCAGAAGCTGTAAACTACATAGGGGAGATTGTGGCTGGTGGCTTCAAACACCAGAAGACAGTGCAGATTTCTACCACTGAACTCCAAAGAGGTGATTGAAAATACCATTGCTTGGGACAGGTGCATCTTAGTCTTTAAGTGACAACATCTTTGTTTTTATAGATTGCTTTTGCAGCAGGATTACTTACTGCTTCCATGGGCTTTAATTGTGTCTTTCTTCTTAAACCATAGCAAACATTTATGGAAAAGCAGTAACTCCCTTCCCTTTTTCTGTTGCTTGATGTTTACTTTTTTAGTTTCTTAGATTAACCTGAGAAGGTTTGTTGTTTCCATCCCCTTTTTGTGTCTCTTGGAGTTGGCAAAAATCTTGTTTTTGTTCTGATGAAAATATTGAGGATGCTCTCCTTTTTTAGGTATCTTTTTCATGAGACTGAGACATGCTTATTTTGGCTCTTTTTGATTCATTGTTCTTGTTAGGTGCCATCGAGTCAAGTATGACTCACAGTGACACCATAAAGAGTGGATTTGAACCCTTTCCTATCCTATGCCACCCTCACTTTTCCTTACACATAAGAGCCCATTGTGGCAGTCAGTATCGTTCATTGGGTTCTCCGAGGCCTGTTATTTAAGAAGTGGATAACCAATCCTGCTTCCTCATCTGCCTTTAAACTTGGAGCTCTATTAAAACCTGTCCACCATGGGTAACCCTTATGGCATTTGACACACTGGTGGCACAGCTTTCAGTATAATTTCAGTATAGCAAACTGAAGACAAACACTGTACCAGTTGGAACAGTGTTCTCCCCAAACACAACAAACTAACAGTTTAGTTTGTACCTCTAATAGCAACTCAGTCTTTATACCAGGACCAGGGAGTCATAAAGGTCCCCCCTCTGGGTTCTGATTGATTTAAACAAAAAGCTTCCAGCCCACAACTGATTGTTTATTAAATCAAAGATACCAATTAGCTTACACCTTCCAGAATTCAACTGTTTCAGACAGGATTGTATTGGGAGTTTTTGTTGTTATTGCTGTTTTTGGGTTTTTTTTTTTACGAGTTGTATTGTTTTGAGGTGATTGTAGATCCCAAAATGATCAGTGTTTTTGATTTGTTGTTTATTTTTGTTTTTGTTTTTTTTTTCATTCTGTATTCTCTGAATATATTGTTGATATTGTACTTTTCCATTTGGTGTCACTGTTGATAATTGGCCTGGTATAATTGTTTAGGATTGTTGAGGAGGTACTAATGAAGGATATTTCAAGCATGGAATGCATAATTTGATACCCCAGTATGTCTCAAAGAAAGAGTAAGATGATTCATGCTGTTCCTGAAGAACTTTTTGTATCAGCTGAGTTTGTTGGGAGAGGGATATAAACTAGAATATTCTTGGAGATTCTTAGGAATAGGATGATGAGTGATAGTAATAGCATTTATTGGATAGTTATTGTGTTTTAAGCTTTTTAATTGAGGGGACTCTGGTGGCTTATTGGTAAGGGGCTACGTACTATCCCAAAGGTATGCATTTTGAATATACCAGCTGCCCTGCAGAAGATGGGCAATCTTTTGCGTGATTAAATGCCTCTGAAAAACTGCTGGAGGGTCATCTAGGATTCGGTTCCACTTCAGTGGTACATAACAACAGCATGACAAAATTGAGTTAGAGAGAGTTCAGTAACTTGCCCAAAGTCTCATAGAGAGGAAACGGCAAGATCAGGATTTAAACTCATACAATCTGGTTTCTGACCTCTGCATTAAACCATTATCTTAAATTTTTTTTAAGAAACAAAGTATAGACTATATTAAAAATATATGAGAAAATAGTAATTTGAGCTGACTGATGATTGAGTGTGGACAAAGGAAGAAAACAAATGAAAGAGTAATAACTTTAAACCTGGAATCCTGGTAGTGTAACTGAACCATTGGTAATGGTGGGGAAATTAGGAAAATAACACCGTGAAAGGAAATCAGCTAACCATGGACTGCCAAGAAAACAAACAGATTCACCCTGGAGAGGGTTAAGCAAGGTTGCTCCTTGGAGGTAAGGATTCTGGGGCTTCGTCTGACATACTTTGGGCATGTTGCAAGGAGGGACAGGTTCTTGGAGAGGAACATCATGCTTGGGAGGGTGGAGGGACGGCGCAAGGGGGGAAGACCCTCTATGAGATGGATTGATTCAGTGACTGGGGTAATCGGGATGGTTGTGTTGGACACAGTGCGATTGGCACAGGATAGAGCAGGGTTTAGGGCTGTTGTACATAGGGTCGCTTTGAGTTGCAAATGACTCACTCAACGGCACATAACAACAACAACAGCAACAGTATTATGGCCAACACAAGATTTTGTACAACCAGTTTTTCCATATCAGGTCAGTCTACTCCTGACACTTACTATATTCCTGATAGTCTTCTATCCATGCAGGTTTGGCTCTGGAAATACAGACTAGCTTGGTATTAACTTAATCAAAACAATTAGGAAAGTAGATATGTTATGAAGAAAAATGTGTCCTTCATTCTTCAGCCACCTAGAAGGGCATGTCAGCTCATTGCTGTCCATTTGTAGCTACTAGCTGAAGTCATACCATTGTTTTCTAGCCTTAACTGGAAGATTGATGTATCTGTATTCCATTGCTTTATGATGATTGTTGTTCATTGTTGTCAAGTCAGACCCTTCAGTGAGTTTTCAGAGACCATAAGTCTCATGGGAGGAGATTGCTGCTCTTCTATAGAGTAGCTGATGGATTTGAGCCCCTTGCCTTTCAGTTAGTAGTGCAACTCTTTACCCAGTAGAGCATCTAAGCTCCCTATGGGATGAATAGTCAGAAGCAAAATACAGATTTTACATAAACCAGGGTTATCTATAAAACTCAGCTTTACAAAACTCAATTTATTGCTTCATATTGGAACAATCTCAGTGCTGACCCTTTAGCAAGTTTTTGTTAGATGCCGTTGAGTACAAATCATAGCAACTCATTGGATTATAGATCTGAACCCTGACCTATCCCGTGCTGTCCTCATCATCTCTGACGTGCTTCACTCCTTGCTGCAGTCACTGTTCAATCCATCTTGTTGAGGGTCTTTATCTCTTTTGTTCACCCTCCACCTTTCCAAGCATGTTGTCCTTCTTCAAGACATAGCTTCTCCTAGCAATATGCCCAAAGTATGTGAGATGAAGTTTTGTCATCCTTGC